AAATGTACAAGGATTGTGTTTGACTAAGAATATTGAATACCAGAAAAAAAAGTAGTCTGCATCAGGTAGAACACCTGCTGCCCGGCCAAAGCGTCAGAGATGGATGTATGGCTTTCAAACAAAAATTATCAAGGAACCTGATCAGGTTCTACCGGAACTAAAAATTTTCCAAAATGGCGAATCCAAGATGGCCGCCATAAAAAAAGCCGAAAAAAAAGTCGGTAGCTATGTCCGGACGTCTATGTCCGGCACTAGCCCGGAGAGCTAGTAGAGGAAGAGCTAGACATCCTCCGGTCCATCCAGTCGCGTAGGAATTTCGGGAGACACGCCGTTTTCGGCGTCGGGACACGTCCCGCGTGCCTTACAGCGCTTGCCATAAGGTCCCTGCGTGGGCTTGCTTGAACAGGTAATAGTGCCCTTCCCACATAACCAAGAGGTTGATAGGGAGGAACACTATAAACCAAAGTTAAGCAGAGCGATATGGGACTTACCGTTTTAATGTATCGCATCGCAATTTTAAGTGACCCTAAAAGTGTGAAGCCTACCTGTCGAATGCGAGCAGCGCCAAGACGACATATAGCCCGCCCCCGCCCCCGTGGTTGTGCTCGCGCCCTTCATCGAGGCGGGAACTGTCCCGCGGCGACCGCGCTTCCGACACCGACTATGACAAACACAGCGGCCTAGACTTTGATCCACAATTGTACATAACGTCTCTTCCACAAGTCTAGGGTCATCGATGAGTCTGACTTTGGTCTTAGTGGAGAAGGAATGAAACATAAATTTATGAATTTACATGTATAAGCATAAAGTCATTAAAGTACAATTATGAACGCCTGATCTGGGCCACAGCATTTCGAAAATGTTACGTGAAAAAACACATGAATGTTAACTATTATTATGGTAATTTAGACCAGCTCTGAGTGAACACGTACACTTTGTTACTCCTACGTTTTAATTTAAGGATAGCTTAAAATATTATACCATATTAACTGAATTATACATCAAAATATTCCTAGAACAAAGTGCTTTCCGATGATATATATGACTGACTTGAGCGTCGTGTTAAAACAGTGAAACAGTGACAATTTAGTGGGTATTAGCACGTATTTTTATAAGACTGCCCAGCTGCTAAACAATGGAACTGAACTTTGGATCCCATTAACGCGTCGGCGGACCTTATCTGCCTTCTACACAGTCCGTATTTTGAGAACCTTTCCAAAAGTCTTGTTGGTTAAACGCACGGAATTTCACTTGTCGTCCAGCAGTCCCGAGTTCAATCCTAGCAGTGTTAATTTTTTTTTAAGTTTTGATATTTTTCTTTTAATAGTTCAGAATAATTATGTTCTTTTTTATTAATTCGTGAAAGGGGTTTTTAATATCATTGACTAGTTTGGTAGATCTTTGTAAAATCTTTAATACAATGAATCAATGTGCCGCTTGTCAGTCAGTAATTAAAGATACTTTCTGCTTGCACTGTTGCGCATGCAATTCCTTCTATCACAGTTTGTGCATAAATATCGCGTCTACTGATTATAAAAAATTGTCTGCTGACTCTAAGGAAAGCTGGCTTTGTCCCGAATGTCGTAATAAAAAACCAAGAACCGACAATAAAAATACACCTGTTCGGCCCTTAACGCCCGTCAACAACAATAGCCACGCTAACGTTACCATGCGCCGAAGAGAAAGAAAATCGTCTAACGAGCTGCCAACCTGCTCTGGTATATCTCCAGCTAGCTCTGATGATACATTTACCTGTTCTCGTTCGGACTTGCGCGACATAATCAGAGACGATTGTTGGAATCTCTTGTCTTGGCATATTAATCAATTAATCTCACCCCAGCATTCAGGTTTCATTTCATCTCGTTCTACAACGTCAAACCTTGTATCATTTTTGGCATATGCAACTGAAGTGCTTGATTCGCGTGGGTCTATGGATACCATTTATACAGATATAAGTAAAGCTTTTGACTCCGTAGACCATGGGATTTTGCTATATAAACTTTCTCTATTTGGTGGCACCGGTAAATTTCTTCAGTAGTTTTCTTCTTACCTAAGTCAGCGCTACTCTAGGGTAGTTGTGGATGGTTTCTCTTCTGAACCATTCTCATCTATATCCGGAGTTCCTCAGGGATCTCACCTTGGTCCGGTCCTTTTCAATATCTTCATTAATGATATGGTACATGTGTTCAAATATGCTACTTGTTTCCTCTATGCAGACGACATGAAACTTTGTTTGCCAATGGAAAGTAGTGGTGACACCCTTCTTTGTCAACATGATTTAGACCAACTTGCCGGTTGGTGTAACAAAAACAAGTTAAATTTGAATATTGGCCAATGCAAGCATATCCGGTTTACAAGATACATAAACACTACGTCGCCGACATATAACATCAGCGGTCATATTTTGGAGGAGATAGACACAATCCGCGACTTGGGAGTAACCCTGGATAAAAAACTACTATTCCATAAACATATAGACAGAGTTGTCACGAAAGGATTTCAGATGCTAGGATTTGTACTGAGAAATGCAAGAGATTTTAAGAATCCCTCAACCAAGATGTTGTTATTTTCGTCTTTGGTGCGCCCCGGTCTGGAATATTGTAGTCAGGTATCGTCGCCACAATATGCAGTTCACATAAAACTTATTGAGCGGATTCAGAGGAGATTCATGTGGCATCTTTCCATCTGACTCAAAAAGCTAAAGAGCTGCCCTCTTATGAGAAACGCCTTTCGTATTTTAATTTAATGAGTTTACGGAGTAGAAGATTGCTACTAGACCACATGTTCTTACACAATATTGTGAATGGAGTCGTGGACTGCCCTTTTCTGTTGGGACTGGTGAAATTCAACGTCCCCTATACGCTGCCTCGCTTGAGTAGACACGTACTATTTTCAGTTAAGGGTAGTAGTAGCAATCTGGGTCACCATACCACGATGAATCGACTTCCAAGAAAATATAACCTCCTGCAAAAGCAGGGTGATTGTGTCATGTGAGACCAGCGGGCTCCGGACAGGGACTCCGGAGCCTGCATTGCACGGCCTCACTCGTCTGGGGGGCGGGTCGGAGGACAACCGACTCGCCCCTCCGTTGGCACGGGAGCCCTGGCGTAAGCTAGGGCGGCCGGGCGGCGTCGTGATGAATGTTCACTGATCCCACGGCGCCGACTCAACCGGCGAGAGGGAAACCCGGGGGGGTTTTAGTGGCGTAGGCCCTCCAGTCTGGAGGGAGAGTCCCCACATAACCCCTGAGTCTCCCTGGGCTCAGGGGTATCCATAAAGATTTCCCCCCGTCAAAAAAAAAAGAAAGGGTGATTGTGTCATCGACATTTTTTCAAATACTCCTTAGCAATTTAAGCGCACAATCAAGGCTGTTCTCACGTCTGTGTCAATGTAGTTTCACTAAATTTTATTTATGTGTATTTTTAATTTATATATTATGTATTGAAAATATTTTTAATTAGATTATCTTGCTTTTAATAGTTACTTTTTTTTAATAATAATATTGTATTGTATTAATTGTACTTATTTATATTATTTCAGTTATGGCTTATTTGAGTTTATTATTTTTTTAAATTTCGTTAATTCAACTAGTTTACTTTTTTCTGTTGTGTCTACATTTGCAGGCCGTGGTGACCTTTAATTGAGGCAGAATTTAGTATAAGTCTCTGTATCACTATTTCAACTTTGTTATATTTAATTCATGTCTTGTTGGTTGTCCTAAAATAAATAAATAAATTAATTAAATATATAGGGCTTTCAATTTGGATATCTGAAAATTCGTTTCATTCGAATATCTGTTAAATTTTGTATGGATGGGTTATTTTTTAAACAGATGTATTAAATATTTGTTTTATCTGTTTTATTCAGATAAAAGATTGTATATATTCGAATTATCTGAATACCAAAAATGAGCAAATATTGCAAGCCCTAAATGTAACAATATATACCATGACATAAAAGTGTGTCACTACTTGTTATCTGCAAAAGCATTAAAAATTCATACATAACACCAAAGCCATACCACATCTTCAATTTGAAAATAATATGATGAGCAAGCAGTTTTACATATTGATAAGTGACAATCATCATCGTCCCCATTGTGCGTGCCTGCAAAAGTTGTGGTGGTAGGCGCACTGGTATCTGCGCTATCATAAGTTAAATTGAAAGTAACTTCCACATAAGTTCTTCTGTGTACTCCAAATACCATTTGATGTTAGGCCAAATGACAGACATTGAGTCCTAAATCAAAGTCACCACATTCTAACAATAAATTTCAAATTTTGTAATACTAATTTAGTGCGGTGAACCACACCCGTTATTTCTCACAGGACAACCTTATCAATCAGTTTCATAATAACTTGGTGCACTAAATGTTATCATTAAACGTTGTGATAACAATAGGTCTTTATTCTAATAAGAGTCCTATCAAAGTGACATAACATGCCTCATCCATATCAAACAAACCACCAATATTTTGTGTCACAACTTCTAATCTGATAGTGTTCCATGGATGGAGTGGTCGGCACCTGCTCAGTGCACATTTTAAGACAGCACAGTACTGTTTGAAGATGTTGGATGTTTATGAATTATTCTAATGTTTATGGTTATCCAAATATAGCTTGTAAAACAACCATTACTAATATTGACACACATTGTAAAGTTCCCAGCAGAATATGAATCTGATGATTTTGGCAGACAACTGAAACACTCGTGAAACAACAGCTGTAAACACAAAACACTCAATATACAGATCCAAACAACCGAAGCTAAATTTTGTGAGAGGTCAGTAATATAGCAAAGAGAAGACACTATTTACACTATGTATTAGTTGATGCGTTTCTATTCTCAGAAGTGTTTGGTGCACTAGTACTTAACAACTGAAAACCATAAGAATCGATACAATGTATATAATAGTGTGCCAATCTTACAATTGTTGCCATATTTTTACGTAGTAACGAGAGGCAATGCATGCAAATTTATGATGAATTGATGAAACTAACCTAGTACCTTTTCCAGAACTCATTATTTTACAGTACGAAGACACTCTGGAGTGGCAGTCTGGAAGTTTTGTCACATATGCCCAATTTCCATCACTACAAACACTAAGTATGTACTTTGGTTATAGATATCAACATTGGATAATATCACATTGTTTGACTGTCGAAATCACAGACTACTTAGTGAACTACTTTCAATTAGGTAATACGTTGTATCATTGGTCAAGTGAGAATTAAAATAAATTAATTCGTTAACTATTTCTAAGATAAAAGACGAGCACTATTCTATTCTCTTTTTTTTTTTAATTTATAAAGGCTTTGGCAAAGCCATCAGCCTAAACATGAAGTTTAATTATGTTTCTGTAAATATTTCCGCCACAAAGAGGATAGGCAATTTGAGGCGGCGTGTTTGGATTGGATAGACTCGGGATTCCTTAGAACGGGCCGATACGGGTATTTTAGTTCGAGATTCGTATAATTTCGCGTTTTAATCTTCGATTAAGGCACAATAGCGCTATCCTATTCCACTTTAAACTAGATTTCACAAAATAATTGAAAGTCAAAATAAAAACGACACTTTTCCCTCCAAAAGGTCCAGAGCGAATCCTCTACAATTCTTCTGAGACCTATTCTATTCTATTTCCTTAATAGCGGACACTAGACACGTTTAAGTAATGTGAGTAATATTACAAAGGTGATATCACGCGACAGGGTACTGTGATATCATGCATCACTTTGGAAAAATGTGCATTACTAAAAATATACATAACGTTACCCATTACATAGACCATGTCGGGGCGCTCTGGGCGTTTCACAATATGAACCAAGTATAGTAAATATCTATATTAATAGCGCCACCCAGCAAATTTTCGACGTACTACTTGATGGGAGATTGCTAACCGTGCCGTAGTGTTACGTAGCGCTGCTGCCAGGTGTCGCTACTAACAGTACGCGGCGTGATACAATGTAATGTGTGAACATCACAGAGTGATGTTAGCATCACACTTTACCCGCGTGATGCATCACTCGGAAACAGTACGCGCGTGATGCATTACCCGAAACATTATCCGCGGGATGTATATTACCTGAAACAGTACGCGTGATGCTAATATTACAGAGTGATGTTTATGATGCGTGATGCTTAGTGTAATGAGTGACGATGATATTACGGAGTGATGTTTATAGTCTAAGTAATGCCAGTGATGTTGTAGCGGTAACATCACGGAGTGATGTTTGTATATGAGACAGGTATAATATTTCACTCTGTACCTCTCTGTTATCTGGTATATTTTCAATAAAGCACCTACTTCCGTTTCTATAGCTCTCTCGTAGTCTGGTAATACAATAGTAGGTTCAGGTTGTTAATTTCTAACTTTTTCATTTGGAGGCTCAGTGGGAAGATCTTGTATCTATGACTGTATTTCTTCAGGATAGCTTCCTTGTGAAGAAATTGATGAGTCCGAGACCATATGAACAGCAGCTCGGTCTTTAGCCACTCAAGTATGACATGCAACGTGCCACTTCTACCTGCAACAAACAAACATAATCATTAAAGTATTTTAAAAAACCTATTTGGTTTACTGTAAAAGTAATTATAAAAACATGTAATCTGATTCAACTTACAGTTCGAGGCGTAATCCATTCTTTTATAACATTATAAATTCTCAATTCACAATTTGAGTTCATGTGAAGAAGATGGCTGACTTGTGATGCAGAGAACGCTCACAGCAGAGACAAACACTACGGTGGTCATCAATATTGCCTTGGTGCTTCAACAGATGGTCTTTGCGCCAAGTACCAGCAAGCTTGGCAAACATAGTCACTGCTGTTCACCTGAAAGATGAGAAAAGTTTTAATGTAATTGCTGGTTTAAGATATTTAATTAAATGTAGACAATCTTTGGGAACTTTTTAAATGTTTAGTATCCGTCATTTGTAAGAGTAACGGTAAAGAAATACCTAGTAAGAAAACCTGTAGGCCAGGTTAGTTAACAAATAGGAGGTGAGTACTTACAAATTGTGGTGCAAGCCAAGCCATTAACGAATTATTGACAGTATCGATTCGTCATCTAAGGCTCGTTGACCTATTCAAACAGCGATGCATGGTGTTTATATATCCAATCAATAAGCCGGCAGTCAAACTCAAAATAGCGAGTCCATTGTAGAAAGTCGTGGTCGAGGAATAAAACAATGGAGAACATTCAAATTATATGAAATCGGTACGAATTACGAAACGAGATATCATTAGTATTTATGTAAATCTTTCCGGGGTTCTCAGTTGATCCCACTCATTGTGGGGTCATGGAAAAATTTCCATTCAAAAAAATCTCATACATATGTTTTAGAAAAATAAAATTATTTCCGGAAATGTTTCCAATATTTTTCATCTAATTTTCCACATTTGACGTTGACACCTGTCAAGTCAAAACTCAAAAGTTGAAGCGCAGACTAAGGAGAAGATACTACGTATGTTGAAGTTATTGAACGAAAACGATGGAAACAACAAGAGTTGGTGATGGTGTGGTTGTTCGAGGATTTGTCGCTATTGTGAGATCATTTTAAATCTCATTTTTCTTATAGGTGGCTTTTAGATATACAAGTTTATTTTATGATTCACGCTAGATAAGACTTAAAAAGATATTTCTAGACGTAAACATTACCACCACTATTTGAATTTTTTCGAAAAATTACCCAACAGTCAGTATATCTCAGGGTCGTATTCCAGAACTCTACTCAATGCTCAAGTCAGGACTTGAGTATTGCAGTGAGCACTGAAAGTCATACTCAAGTCCATGCCATTAGGGTCGTATTTCCAGTGCTTGAAATCATACTCAAGTCTGCTCAAATCCTGACTTGAGCATTGAGTAGAGTTCTGGAATACGACTCTCAGTCTCACATGCACACGCCATCATTCAAGTTATATAAAGTTATCAATTATGATCCGTTTAGGAATTTTTAAGTTATGGATCGCCATTAGAGGTGGGCTTTTAAATGCAAAGCACTTAAAAGAGTCTGCTTTTTAAAATAAGCGCATAAGCACGTTTTTCATTTTAAGCGTTAGCGTTGGTCACTGTCAATCTATGCGCTTAAACGTTTTATTAAACAACTTTTTAAGCATCAAACTAAAAAGTGAAAAGCGCTTTTACAAGCACGCTTTTTAAACGTACGTTTTAACGTTAAAAAATAAGCAGTTTTTTTCCATTTCAACGGTTAACAACTACAAAAGTTAAACAACTTATGTTTTTGAACGCTTTTAAACGCCAATGAACAAAATGTTAATATAATAATGTTATATCATAAACAAAAATAATACTCGTTTTTTTTAAAAAAAAATAACTTATCTTAAAACCTTTGGTGGTATACGTTTCACTATCAACACAACGTTGCAAGATTTTTTTGACATAAAAGTCTATGCGCTTCAACGTTTTCTAAACGATTTTGGTAACTTCAAACTAAAAAGCGTTTAAGTGCAAACGTGTTTAGAAAAGCACACTTTTTTAAAAAGCATAACGTTTAAACGTTTAAGAAAATAAGTAGTTTTTCCCATCTATAATCGCCATTATAGTATACATTCATACGTAATTGTTCCCCGATATGAACCCATAGTAAATATCAATATTAATAGCGCCACCTAGCAACTTTCTCACTTACTAGTTGATGGAACTTTGTATACCGCGCCGTAATGTTAGTTGTAGTGCTCTCGCCAGGTGTCGTTACTAACACCCACAGGTCACTGCTGTCAGCCAACCAGCAGAGACTAAAAATGATGTACCGATAAAACAAATCTACTTTATTGAATCGATTAGTTAATGAGAATCAATTTTAAGATTTTATTTTTGTAAATTATGTATGTATCTATTGTTTAAAACGCTTGAATCTATTAACTCTATTAAATAGAATTATTTTGATTGAATTTAACATTTGGCGCTAGCGTTTTTCTATTTTTAATTGTTTAAATCCATTTACATTAATCGATTATAATTTAATCGGTATTCTATTTTGTTTGTTACCTCAATTAACTTAAGATTTCTCATTTTCCAGATCGAGCATTAGGCTGATTTTTTACGTTTTGAAATAGAAAAATATAACCCTTTTTTTAAACCATACCTCGACTTATTAAATTTTGGCCCAGACTGCCCCGTCTCCATTACCTCTCGGAAAATTATCCAACAGTATCTCAATCTCACACGCACTCGCCATCATTCAAGTTAAGTTATCATGCGTATAGGAATTATTACGTAATGTATCGTCTCTTATTATACATTCGATATGAACTTAGAGTAAATATCGATATTAATTGCGCCACCTAGCAAATTTCTCACGTACTACTTGATGGACCTTGGTATACCGCTCCGTAGTGTTAAATAGCGCTCTCGCCAGGTGTCACTACTAACATCCATTACCCAAACGAAACAGTACACAGCGTGATGCTATGTAATGTGTAATGTTGATATCACGGAGTGATGTTTGCTGCTAACATTACTCGAAACATTACGCGTGATGCATCACTCGAAATAGTACGCGAGTGGTGTATTACCCGAAACATTACCCGCATGATACATTACCTGAAACAGTACGCGTGATGCGTAATGTAATGAGTGACGGTGATATTACGGAGTAATGTTTATAGTCTAAGTAATGCGAGTGATGTTTGTTTAAAAGACATCTCATGTGATAGTAATATTACGCGAAATGCAATGTAAATGCATCCAATTTGGAATATTGCAGTAGAACGATGTTTGTATTAGTACCCCAATTACTTAATAACTTACTAAATGGTGTAAAAAGATTAAACCGTAGACAATTTAAAATGAAATTGCATAATTTGTTAATCAGTGCTTGGTTAAATATAATATTGAGATTTTTCTTGGTAATCTAGAAGGAGATGGATACGCTTTCATACAATCAATCCAAGATGTAAAAACATGAAGGTGGTATCAGTTAATTGAGTAGGTATTAATACCTATCACTGAAATCAGATCACTGAAAATTCTGCGAACTGAGCTGAGAGCAGAGCCATAAGAGAATTAGTAAAAGTGAGGTTATGTAACAACATAATTAACGTCTGATTTTTGGAGTGCATTTGTTATTTTACAACTTACTAGATGGTGTAAACGAATTAAAAAGTAGACATTTAAAATGAAATTGCATAATTTGTTAATCATTGCTTGATTAAATACAATATTTTGATTTTTTACGTGGGTGAGTGTAGGTTGCCAGACGGTTCTTAATATTTCGTAATTTTTGTTTGATTCTCTCGAGTAATATGTAAGTAGATATTGTTTATAATGCAACTTTAACTTCTAGAAATGCGTTTTATAGGTTGCTTTAAAACGCATCCCGTTTTTCACCGACTTAAAAAGGAGGAGGTTCTCAATTTGTCGGTGTTTTTT